TTGTGTTCACTATTGGTGTATACTTTGAAGTCATGTGACCAGATCGGCCAACGCAGTTTTGATGCGCGGTCCGCAAGCACCTCCAACCCCCAGATTCCTCCACTCAACAACACGATGGTGCGTCTCAACAGTGTTCAAGCGAAAGCCCTTCGCCGCCTACAAAACCAGGCTGGGGTCCAGCAACCCCCCAAAACAAAATGGCCCAGCGTCGTCGGCAAGCCCGTATACCTGTACGTTGCCCAAAATTTCCAAGAACCCGAACTCCGCTCGACCAAAACAACACCCCAGCAGACTTGACCGGCTCAATTGGACATGTGCCAAAAAATAAAATGTACCACAACTAATTTCCCGCCTCGTTAGGCCTGAGTTCCGCGTCGCTCTCGTCCGAACTCCCAACCTCACCCCCCGATATGCTCAATTCCGCGTCCCCCTCAGCTTCAACAAGTTCGATCTACGTAGCTACCTATGGCACTTGTATGGAGTCGGAACCCTCAGCATCCGCAGTTACGTCCAGGCACAACCAATCACACGAATCTCGCGCGATAACAAGGGTTTCGGCCCGTGGCGCCGGCCTAAGTCGCAGAAGCGCATGACCGTTGAGTTGAAGGAGCCCTTCGTGTACCCCCAGGAGCCAAAGGATCTGACCCCGTATGTGACGCCCACCCTTAAACTTCTCGTCCTTTTCAACTCCAATGCCTTTTATCTCCCTCTTTCTACATTCCCAATACTACACGTGCACTCAACCCAGATTGAACGTTATAACTAACCAATTTCATCCAATAGCTGGGAGCATGAAAGTTGGTCAAAGGCCGAGAAGTTCCAGATCGACCTACAAGAAAAGGAGAACCCTAAGCCGAACAAGGGTGAACAGCCCGATCGCGAGTTGCGCGAGGCCTACAAGGAGCAGGCCAAGGCGTTGCTCGAGAAGAAGGAGACTTGGAGACCAACCTGGAAGGCTCTGGGCTTAGAGACACACCAGGCGGCTAAGAATGGCGCTTTCGCCCCCGCTTCTACGCTGCCGGCTTGGTTTGCGAAGGGACGGAAGCACGGAGCGCGATAATGGAGTTTGATGGGATTCCTTGCATTGTTCTGAATGGTTTTCTTTTTCCTCCCTCCATTGGGGAAAATTGGTGTTTCTTGCTCTATCTTCTGGTCCATGTTAGTTTGGCTGGATCTGTGTATTATACTCTTGGGGTAGATTGTATACATCTTGAATATGGCGTATCATCTTTTCTGTTCTGGTTGAGGTTTACATGATTCTCTAAAATGAAACAGATTTTGTAAATTGTGACGTTGGTAGAATTGAACACAGTATGTTGAGTGATATAGACACGAAATATTGACTGGCATGAACGCATCACGAAAGACAAGCTGATTAAATACAAGTCACTAGGGCCCGGGGCTATTATACGCTATGCAAAAATGAGGGTGGGGGTTCCCAAACGGCTGGGCAACAGATGAGAGAGAGGCAAGGCGCCTTGAAGTTATAGTGCTGAGAACGGTTTACAGCCGGCTCTCGACGAAGTTCATCTGGTGTTGGCCCGGCCACTGGGCATCGGGCCAGACCTGGCGAAGCCCTTCCCAAATGTGCCTGTGAACAATTGTTAGCAGTTGAACTAAACCAAGGTTGGGAGGAGATTACATACTTGACATAGATGATTTCCAGACCATCCTTGACTTCCTGTGGGACATCTTTGACGTCCTTGCGGTTGTGGTCCGGCAGTAGCACGGTCTTGACGCCCGCCCGCAGAGCACCAATCAGCTTTTCCTTGATACCGCCGACGGGCATAACCCGGCCGCGGAGGGAGACTTCGCCAGTCATGGCGATCTGCGGTGGGACTGGCTTGTTGCTGAACAAGGAGATCAGGGCAACAGTGTGGGCAAGACCAGCAGAAGGGCCATCCTTGGGGATAGCGCCAGAGGGGCAGTGGACGTGCAGGCTACGACTCTTCATAATATCTTCATTGGGGTCATGGGTGAGACCTAGCTCGAAGGAGTGTGCCTTCACCCATGTCAGGGCTACTTCAACAGATTCTTTGAGCACGTCGCCCAGCTTACCGGTTAGCTGGACGCGTCCGTTGCCAGGCATGTCTGCCACCTCGATGAACAGGATGCTGCCCTGGCCACCGGTAGAGTAGGCGACAAGGCCTGTGACCACACCGGGCCGGCCGTGTTTTTCGGCGATCTCTTCCTCAAATCGCTCGTTCCCCAGGATATCTTCCAGATCGTCGACTGATACAACAGGGTTATAATCTCCTAGCCGGTCGGTGTCCCCAGCGTCGGCATATTGAACGGCCTTGTGACGACAAATAGAGCCAAGCTCCCGCTCTAGGTTACGCACACCTGACTCACGGGTGTACGAGGTGATGGTCTTATCAATCACCTCGTCGGACAAGTTTACCTGGCCCTCGTTGAGACCGTTGGATCGAATCTGCTTCGGGATCAGGTGTTGCTTGGCAATGTGCCTCTTCTCAACAGTGGTGTATCCAGACAGAGAGATGGTCTCCATGCGGTCAAGAAGAGGTGCTGGGATCGTGTCGAGGGAGTTGGCAGTAGCAAGGAAAAGAACCTTGCTCAGGTCGATAGGAATGTTGATATAGTGGTCGGTGAAGGTGTGATTCTGCTCAGGATCAAGAACCTCCAGCATGGCAGCGGATGGGTCGCCTTGGAAGTTGGCGCCGCCAACCTTATCAATTTCATCAAGCAGAATGACGGGGTTTGCAACGCCAACCTTCTTCAGCCCATTCACAACCAAGCCAGGCATGGCGGCAACGTATGTACGTCGGTGGCCCCGGATTTCCGCCTCGTCTCTGACACCACCAAGGGAGATCCGGTGGAATTTTCGGCCAAGCGAGGCAGCAACGGACCTTGCCAGACTAGTCTTACCAGTTCCAGGAGGTCCGACCAGAAGCAAGATAGGGGACTTGTCGGTCATACGCTTAGACTTGAGGATCTGAAGGCGTGTCTCCAACGCAACCCGGTCAGACTCTGACAACAGGGGAACATCCTTTTCGACATCTCCAACGGCCGAGGAGTCCAAGTCCCTGGTGAGTCCAGAGATCTGGCGTTCAACATCCGAGTTGGTGGACTGCTTCAAGCGCAACACGGCTAAATACTCCAACAGTCGCTTCTTGATTCGCTCCAGGCCGTAGTGGTCCTCGTCCAACTGCTTCCTGGCGTTCTTCAATGTGTCTGGTCCAAGCTGATCCTCTGTCACCTTGGTCCATGGGATTTCCGATAAGTTCTCCAGATAAGTCCGGCAAACACCGTACTCGGCGTTGGCAGGGTTCATCTTTCGCAGGCGTTTCAATTCCTTGTCCGCAACCTTCCGAGCTTCGGGACTAAGCTGCGCATCATTCAGCTTCTGTTGTAGCTCATCTACCTCATTGGGCTCCTTCTCTTCATCATTGCCACGCCCGCCAGGGGGTGTTATGCCGGAGAGACCCGAAATTGCACGCTTTGCGAGCAGCTCACGTTCACGTGGGTCAATCTGACTGATATCCATACCGGAGGAGGGGAACGAAGTTGAGCCAACTGAGGTGACCCTGACGCTACTCTTAATATGCTGTGCCTGTCTGGTGAGGATCTCAACAACCCTCTCCAACCGTTCCTTGACATCCAGCGAGGAGAGGATACGTAGCTTTTCCTCAAAGCTTGCGTCAGACACGTCTGCCATGAAATCGGCCAACTTCCCAGCCTGCGTCAATTCTGTCTTTGATATATAGAGCTCGAACTTTCGGGCAACGAGTGGCGAGAGGCGAGAGGAAGCTGCCGACAGCAATGAGGAGAGGCGGAGGAGAGTAAGAAGTTCTCGAGAGAGCTGTCTCAATTGTTGGAATAGTTCAGCGACTTCTGCGTCACCTTGGCCAGAGTCTAGAAGCATAGGAAGTATAATTAGCCATGTGGTCTCTGTACTTTGTGCCCGTGGGAACTAACTGGATTCGTCATGAATGTAGACCTCGGCCTCAAAGTATGGTCGGTCTCGCAGGACCTTCTTGATAGAAAATCTTTGCGAGCCTTGGACAAGCAAGAAAGGTTCAGAGTAGGCCCGGCGCTGAACTCCGATGACTTTGCCAATGGTTCCACAACGGAACAGGTCCTCCTTGCGTGCCTGACCGGCGTCAATCGAGTCATATTCCTCCTTTCGCTCTGAGTCCGAGTCGTCGCCTTCGAGGAGCTGCTGTCCATCCCGGCTCAGGAACGGTGAGTTAAGTGGAACACAGCCGAAGGTGATGGTATTCGCATCTCGCTTGGAAGGCTTGTCCACAAGTGACGAAAGGAGATTGGCGAGATCGGGACGGTTGGAGACTGGAATCCGTAGAGTCACACCAGGTAGCAGAACCGAGCCCTTGGGGAGAGGCACGAGGGGGATCTTGGTAGTTCTACCGTTGGATCCCATCTTGTACGGGCCCTCGTGATGATGAAATGGGGTGGCAAAGATGGGGATCCGGGGAGATCAAGTTGTAGAGTGTATGAGGGGTAGAAGACAGGGGGGAAGATGAATGGGGAATGTGGAGATGGGAAGGATAACTGGGATTATATGAGGAGGAGAGATGGAGAAGTTCCAGAATCACGTCGATGGGAAGTCCGGGGAGATAAAGTCGAATGTCTGGCAATCTCCACGTCCCGAAGCCGAGGTTGTGACGATCAACTGGGGAAGACAAGGAATTTGCTTTTGATTGTTTATAGTCTATTTTTTAAATTTATAGATCTACAAGTATTATATTATTAGTTTACGATCATTTTCTTATTTCTATTTCCTAGATTATATATATATATATATATATATATATATATATGTTCTAAACGTTGTACTCCTGGACTGAATTACCTGATCTGCACGTGTCCCGTGATCGGAGTTCTCCAAATCCACTTTCGCCTTTTCGCCTGACTTTCCTCGGCAGTTTGATATCCTACGGTCATAGCTCATACAACGTTGGACACGTCTTCTCCCATTATTTCCAGTGTCTTCTCCGCTTCCGTTTCCTTTGCCCCTCAAAATGTCTACCCCCGCCCCCACCCAAAAGACCATCACTATCGGCACCCGCAAGTCTAAACTGGCTCTGCTCCAAACAAACCTGGTCCTCGACGCATTGAAGAAGGCATTCCCCCAATATGAATATAAGATCTTCTCCAAGGAGACAGCCGGTGACCTGAACACCACTATCGCACTGCGCGATTTCACTACCAAGAACCTGTGGACGGAAGAATTGGAGGAATTGATGATTGGCGGGCAGGTCGATGTTATCGTGCACTCGTTGAAAGGTTTGATAATGCCTCAATCTCAAACAGCGTAGCTGTTTCAACCTTGGAAAGTGCTGACGACAACTTCTTGGAAATTATCAGATGTCCCCACTACTCTCCCCTCTTCCTGCAAGCTAGGCCCGAGCATGCCCCGCGAAGATAGCAGGGATGTTCTCGTGGTGAAACAAGGTTTGCCATACAAGAGTCTGTCCGAGATCCCCGCCGGCTCCGTGGTTGGAACCTCGTCCATCCGCCGCACCGCCCAATTAGCCCGGAAATACCCCCACCTTAAGGTCCAGGATGTCCGTGGCAACATCGGCACTCGCCTATCAAAGCTAGACGCCGAAGATAGCCCTTACGCCTGTGTCATCCTTGCCGCTGCTGGTCTGTTGCGTCTTGATTTAGAGGATCGTATCACCCAATATCTGGACTCCAAGAACAGCGGCATGCTCTATGCCGTCGGGCAGGGTGCCCTTGGGATCGAAATTCGCAAGGAAGACACTGTTCTGCAAGATATGTTGGACACAATTGGTCACCAGGATACCACATTCTCGGTTTTGGCCGAGCGGAGTCTTTTGCGGACTCTTGAGGGAGGCTGCAGTGCCCCGCTGGGCGTTGAAACTGAATGGGTCCAAAATATGCAGGGTGCTAAGCAGTTGCGAATGCGGTCTGTTGTTGTCAGTGTCGATGGCAAAGAATGTGCCCAGGTAGAATTGGAAGCCGATGTCACCTCTGCTGAAAGTGCTGAGGCCTTCGGTATTACCGTAGCCAAGGCCCTGGTGGCTGACGGCGCAGGGGACATTCTCGAGACTATCCAGCAGAACAAGGCCAAGGAGAGCGTTTCTACTGCAGTCTAAATGTTCAGATATATTTTTACTGTAACTAGGCAGATATACCCTGTTAAAAAATGAAGTGAACGAGTTTTCTTGTCTGGTATGGTTGTACTCGCTCAAGATATCAATAATATTCGCCAAGAACTCCGTCTGTCGTGACTTTTTTGGACTATAGTAAATCAGCTCTATCCATATCGGTTATTTCAAAATCATCCCCGGTTCAATGTGTTTCCAGCACCCTTCGGATTAGCTTCCGTGTACTCGTCCCAATGTCGTGCCTTCATCGTTTCCTGGTCGGCAATGTCGTGATCATCCTCGTCAACTTGCGGTTTGATGCCAGACTTCTCGCCTCCTCCTTCAATGACATTTCCTCGTCTGTGCTCTTCATCGAGATATTCCTCAATTGTCATAGTAGGAAGGTTATGACCCGGACGAAAGACTCCTTGTTGCATTTCTGCGCGCCGACCCAACAACGTAAACGGCTGCATTGGCTTTCCTTTGCTGTTCAGGATAGGACCACCTCTGCCTCCCCTCAAAAGCTGTGACATTGAAGGATCTAAGCGGTCTGAATAATTTAATCCTCCGATATTGCTTCGCTGTCTGGGATCATCCGTTGGTGGGGGGCGGGGCGGCGCGTTGCGCATGGCAGAAAGTATCGATAATTCCTGGATTAGGAGATCTAAAGCCTGGAAGGTCTGGTGGGTGTAAAGCTGGAGCTCTGCTAGGTAGAGGGATCGCGTGTCATCATCGTCGCTTTGCAGGCGAGCTTCGTTTTGTGAGAAGTACTTTAAATAGGGTAAGCAAGAGAATCAAGCAATATCCAGGGGAAAAAAATCCTATACCTCCAGCTTCTGCTTGAGCTCTTTTTCTTCCCGAAACCGTGTTACTTTAATTTCCCGTCTGGCGGCAGCGTCGTTGGCTGGCGCCAGGGTAAAAGAGGTCGGATTGGCCATGTATTGCTCAAAGAGCTTCTTGTCTCCGCCGGAGAGTAGCAGGTACTCATCCAAGCGCATCAGGTATTTCTCATATTCTTCGAGCGCACGCTTGAGGACAACTTCGCGGTCTGGGGTAGCAACTCGTTGCAAGAGCTCGGCTAGATGGTATTCCAGTGTCATGTACCTGAACGACAAATCAGCCGAATGGGCAACGCAATGCCGGAATGAAGGTGACGTACTGGATATCACCGGTTGAAATATCTTCCAGCAGCTCATTAGAGCTAAATAGGGACAACATGCTCACTTGACGCTGGCATTCTTGGAATTTGGCGATCGTCGCATTCACCTCGTCTCGGTAGGTCTCCGCGTTGGTATCACCCCGCGATCCCAGTGCATCCTTTTGCTCCTTTGCTGATGCAAAGAGAGAGCGAAGATTCTGTGGTTCCTCCATTGGTTCTGATATTGATCTTGCGGGCTTGAATTAGGTAGAATATAGGGTATGAGAGGTGCCTAGGAAGGGCTCGCGTGTCCCCCGCGATCTGGATCTGAGTTTTGGAGACGCGATAACGAGATAACGCCAAGCTTCTATTCGATAAGCCTTTGATATCGGGCTTATACTTCCTTAACTTTGACTCTATTAAAGAATAAGAATAGCCAGCCGCTCATACGGCCCTTGTCATGTCTTTTTTTAGGTGTATATGAAGATGGTACATAAAGCATGCTTTGTGTAAAAGACCTTTCTACGTATAACCTTTGTACATCCCATATATCAACATGACCCAAGTACCTGTCTAGGTGCGCACCACCCTTTCTAACTTAGCCCTTAGTAAATTCAAACTTACCCGTAATTTCCCCCCTTTGACGAAGATATAGTAATTTGAAGTATTATCTTTGATGAAACTTGATAAATTCAGGGGTAGAAAAAGGGCATCATAACTTCTTCTGGATACAAGCAACGAAAGGGAGAGAAGGAAGAATTGATCTATTCAATCTATCAAGAGCAGGATATTCATACCCGAAGGCTAACAAACAAGCCTTCAAAACAGGCACGCATGGGAGATATAACTGTTCCCGAAACTTGAACCATTTATACCGCTGCTCGAACTCCTAGCTTCACGGGGCAAGGGGAGGATGGTGCACCGTGAATTAAGCTTGCCCATGCTTGACAATGCAAAAGCTCCCGTTTCATGGGCGATAAAGAGTGATATGATCAAACTTCCCACCATGGTTGTAGTCGAAGGCAAATGCGATGTCTGCGGAGGATTTCAGGTCATACCCCCCGATCTCATCAGAGTGGCTGTAGACCGACTGAAACTCCATTTTGGTGACGAGGGTTTCAGGGCTCGGCTTGTTGATTTGGTAAAGATAACTCCAGTAGCGGTGGGTGGTATATCCAGGGAGAAACTAGGATGAGCTCTTGAAAAATGCCACTCTTCCAAACACTTCAGAGGGTAGGGTTACCTCATATTTATATCATACGACGTTCCTTTTTAATAAGATATATACGCACGCCACCACTTTCTCCGGTCGCCAGTATATAGTATAACCATTCCGTCTAATCCAATCTCTTGGCGCTCGGATTAAATTGACGTTTGCTCGCTGTCCCACTAGAATCTATTTACCGATGAGCTCATCTATGAATACCAAGGTGGCTAAGACAATGGATAGCTCTAAATTTGGACTCCTGGTGTCTATACAGCTGCGTATTCTGTTCCTTTTAATTTTTTTTGCCTGGAACTACTAGAGTATATCCTATAGTACTAACTCTACTAGTCTAAAAATAACTAAGAGATAGTGAAGGAAACACAATACTTATATTATAAGGAGCAAAGATAAAAGAAGAAATCAAACCTTATAGTCGCTACCACTAACCATATCCCCTATATCGTCGAGATTTAGAGCTCCTATATAGTGAGTCTACAAATCGGGTTAGTGTGGCTTGAACCAGTATATGTATGAATTAGAAACCGGTCGTAAGTTGGTTGTCATAGTGGTCTTTGAGTAAAGTTGCTGGCTTGTATCACATACGTACTCGTTTTGGTCAGTGGTGTTAAGTCAACCCAGCCTAACAACATTGAAGCTTTAAAATAGTATCCCCGTTAGGTTAATAGTGCCGCCCCTCTCTCTATATATATTTATATAAATAAGCCACACTAGTTATTTACGATCAAATCAATTATGATCCCTATCACTTAGATTGCTATCTTAATATAGTCCTTTGTGACCGTGAAAAGCGGTGGCGTATTCGCAAAGCAGGCTTCAACAGTCTTCAGATCTAGGTGTGGCGGGCTGATCTTGGTCAATAACTATGGCACCGGTTTGGGGAAACCATATGTTAAAAATGCAACAGCACAAGTAAATGATAGAAATATAGGAATACTGCAATGTATGATATGCCTCGATGGTGTATAACCCCCTACTAACTAAGATGATACTTTTCTACATATGCTTATCTCAAACGGTGCCATTTCTTAGTAAAGTCAGTAATGCTTTTTCTATCCCAGTTATAGACTAGTTAGTGGTGTGATTGATATATGTCCAAATCACTGTTATTCTCCGCTAGGGTTCTCCTTTGTTTCATTCTCTCTTCAGATCGTCGTCTTTTCTAAATCATCACACGGGTTTACATTATCAATCCTCACTTCACCCTGCTTGTGGGCATTTTTGGTCTAGGTTTTACATTATTGTCAGAACAAGGTACAATACATGCGCCCTGCAGTATATTCCAACTGTGAACGACCTTATTATGCGGAAAGAAAGAAAATACAATCTCATTAGAATATCAAAGAAAAGACCAAGACAACGATCTATAGATATTTGTCAAACCTATGGTGCCCTTTTTATGAAGTTCCCCAACCCGCCTACTAATATACGTAGGTACGTTTTATCACTCTCAGCTCACTTATGAGAAGCTCAGACCTTTGTAGGAAGGAGTACTCGTGTGACACAAGCGTGTGACTCGTTGGGGTCTTGCTGAATTAGATATCGTTTACTCTCTCGCCCGCGCGATTTACTTCCCCACTTCTGATTTGAAATTCTTCTTCTTCTTCTTCTTCTTCTTCTTCTACCTATTTAACATTTCCTCTTCTTCAACATATCCTAGCGCAGGATAAAACCATCAACATGGAGCCCGAAGACACAACCTCAGATCTATCAGGCGATGAAGCTGTGGCCGTACAGCCGACAGAGTCCCACCGCCACAGAGCTCAAAATGCTTCATTCACTGCCCTGTAAGTTTCCAATCTATTCTAGCTCCAAGGTCCATTTATGCTGACAGCTCGGAAGGCTCGAAGAGCATGTTATGAACGGGCCTGGAAACGGCCCTAATGGGGCAAATGTCGAACTACCTGACGCGGAACTTTCAACTGCTCGTTTACTCGTAAATACGGAGCCCGGGGGTGGGGTTCTGGACCCTCGTGAATACCAAATCGAGCTCTTTGAAAGGGCAAGGGCTCGCAACACAATCGCAGTTCTCGACACAGGGTCTGGAAAGACTTTAGTGGCTGTGCTTTTGCTCAAGCACATTCTCCAAATTGAACTCAACAAACGTGTAAATGGCGCAAAACCTCGCGTTGCCTTTTTTCTGGTGGACAGTGTAACGCTGGTCTTCCAACAGTCTGCTGTCTTGAGAAATAACCTCGATCAAACAGTCGCACACTTTTTCGGCAATCTGGGACCTGATCTTTGGGACAAAGAGACGTGGGATAAGCACCTTGAAAAATACATGGTGATTGTATGCACAGCAGAGATCCTAAACCAGTCTCTACTGAATGGTCATATAGGGATTGAGCAGATCAATCTTCTGATCTTCGACGAAGCCCACCATGCCAAAAAGGAGCATCCGTATGCTCGGTATGCAACCAATTATTATATTATAAGATGCCTACAAAAGCTGATATTTATTAGTATCATCCGAGACGCCTATCTGAAAGCGGATCCCGAAAAGCGCCCAAGGATCTTCGGCATGACTGCTTCTCCGGTTGATGCTAAGTGCGACATAGCGGAAGCAGCAACGTGAGAACCCCAAAATAAACCAAAAAGTGTAAGCATATGCTTACTGTGTATAGTCAACTTGAGACTCTTTTAGAT